CAGCCGCGTTCTTTCAAAATTAAATCGAAAGAATGCGGCTTTTCTTTCGACGGCGGTACTCCTCATTTCACGAGGAAGAACGCCTTTTTTCAAAAGTGTTCTTTCGAAAAAAGGCGTTCTTGAATGCAAACAGGGCTTTTTCGAAAGAGAACATCCAGACTGCCTGGGTCCTCTCTTTCGAAAAAGCGGCTTGCTTTTTCGAAAGTACTGCCTGCAGTCTAGACGCTCTTTTTCGAAAGAGGCTTTTTCGAAAGTATCTTTTGAAAAAGCCTCTTTCGAAAGAGGCTTGCAGTCTAGACGTAGCCTTAGTGTCATTTATGTGGTGTCTCTTAGTCCATACAGACGACCGAGGGCTTAGAGCTGAACCCAGATCACTGCTGCGGCGTCTGGGGATTGATTTGTGAAGCCTCTTTGGGGTACCACGGGGGCAAAGTCTATGCTCAGTGAGCTACATTCTCCTGCTTATGCCAGGCTCCCACCGGGATCCGTTCCTGGCTCTCTGCGATTTAACCTTACTAGTGAGGGGGCAGAGAGAGGCAAACACATACACATCCCTGATCCAGAGGTGGGGAGTGGTAAAGAATGGAGAGGAGCAGCCTTTGCGACAGGGAGGACTGGCTCACTCGGCAAGCTGGGCACAGGCTGCCAGTGTGATACTGTAGCCAGAGGGGCTAATAGGATCCTGGGATACAGACACCAGGGAATCTTAAGCAGGTGATTTGCTCTGTGTACTTGGCCCGGGTGTGACCCCTGCTGGAATCCCATGCCCACCTGGGGCACCCACAAGCAAAGTGCAAGGAGGAAAAAGGGTAAAGACTGTGAGTTGCCCAGATACCCCAGTGAGGCAGCTCCTGGAAGTAACTTAGAGAGAGAGCTAAGAACTGGGTTTCTGGTACATTACTATGGCAGCTTTTTCTTCACTTTAGTGCACAGTCAACCTGTGGAACTCCTTGCCAGAGGATGTGGTGAAGGCTACGACTTTAACAGGGTTCAAAAAAGAGCCAGATAGATTCATGGAGGTTAGGTCCATCAATGACTATTAGTCAGGACGGGTAGGAATGGTGTCCCTAGCCTCTGTTTGTCTGGAAATGGGTGCCAGGGAGGGATCATGTGAGGATTACCTGTTGTGTTCCCTCCCTCTGGGGCATCTGGCATTGGCCACTGTTGGCAGACAGGATACTGGGCTAGATGGACCTTTGGGCCTGCCTGGCAATCAAGCACCTGGACTCTAGCTACTGCCTCACAGCAATGTCTTGAAGGAATCGCTTTGCCGTGCTGTGCCTCAGTTTCCCCATCTGTATAATGGCAACGATCAGCTCTACCTACCTTCAAGGCTGCGATGGGGTATCTCAACCCCATACTGAGGCTGAAGGAGTTAGTCTGGCCCAGCTGCCCCACCCCCACAGCCCTGCTGGGCATGCTCCAACTGCAGGCTGGCTATAAAAGCCTCCCAAGCTGCTCAGTCAGGGCTGGCTGCCGCAGGGGAAGGAGGTGCTGTTGGAGCTCCTGGGAACTGCAGCAGGAGCCTCCAGACCAGAGGGTGAGGCCCGAGAGGACTCCTTATAAGAGGGGGTAGCCCAGGGCAGGAAACTGCTCCCTGAGAGCTCAGCCTGTTGTGGTAGGACTCCCTGCTGAGTGAGCAATGACCGTGCCACTGCTAACAGGGCCCTGGGCTGGGACCTAGTGGAGAACGAGGGCCTGGGTCCCCCTAGCTGCTTCTTAGATACCCCCGCATGGGGGAGCTTCTCCTGAGATACATTGATGGAGACTGCTGGGCCGTAATACCCTGAATAGAGGGGGTTGTATACTGACTGACACGCTGGGCTGTAATACCCTGAATAGAGGGGGTTGTATATTGATTGAGGCTGTTGTGCTGTAATACTCTGAATGCAGGGAATGTGCATATTGACTGAGGCCAAAGGGCCGTAATACCCTGAATAGAGGGGGTTGTATACTGACTGACACGCTGGGCTGTAATACCCTGAATAGAGGGGGTTGTATACTGACTGACACGCTGGGCTGTAATACCCTGAATAGAGGGGGTTGTATACTGACTGACACGCTGGGCTGTAATACCCTGAATAGAGGGGGTTGTATACTGACTGACACGCTGGGCTGTAATACCCTGAATAGAGGGGGTTGTATACTGACTGACACGCTGGGCTGTAATACCCTGAATAGAGGGGGTTGTATATTGACTGAAGCTGCTGGGCCGTAATACCCTGAATATAAGGAGAGCACACATTGAAGGGCCGCTGGGCCATATGGTGAATAGACTTGGGGTCTGTTAGGCTGCTCAATCCAGAGAGGAAGTTCGAGGAGCCTCTGAGGGCCGATTGCTGCCCTCACCAGCGGTCAAGCAAGAAGTCCCGAACAGGCCTACAGCAGAGGAACTGCATAAGCTTTAGCATTCCAGTTTCCAGCTTTAGCATTCCAGGTTAGCCTGGAAATGTGCCCGAGACGGCAACTGTCTGAGGGAGACTTGTCTCTTGCGGTGCCAGAGAGACACTAGATGTGCTGGTCACAGTGGCTCGAGGACTGGGCAGAGCTAAGGTGCGGGAAGGGGGCGAGGACCTGATCACCTCCAAACCTGTTTCCCCAACCCAATGTGCGCCTCTTAACCAGGGTTCCCTCTAAGCGGTGCACCTGCACAGCCGCCCACAAAACACGTTAGGCCCGGCCACCTCGCCTGCAGAGCCATGTGGCGGGTGGGACCAGA